CCCTTCTGTGTGATGCTCTGAGCTCTCCATTTGTGGACATCAGCATCAGAGCCTGTTCTGTCCTGTTCTCCAGATGCTGTTCCTGCTATCACAAATAGGGAAGAAAGAAAAGAAGGGCCAGTTTCAGCTGTTCTTTTGGAGGGATGTGTAGTTCAGAACTTCCCCACAAAGTGGAGAGAAATTAGTTCTGTCGTTAAAAGGAAGAAAGAATGCACCAAAATTGTGCTTGACCGTATGATAAGGAGGCAAAGACTGCAATATTCCTGTCTTCAGGTGTTCTCAGAAGTCTGTTCTGAAAAATGTATAACTTCTTTCCAGGGTCTGATGGCACAAAGCAACTGAGAATAAATGAAGAACAGGACCAAAATGCAAAGGAAAATTGATGGAACCACCTCAGAGGAGCTCACTGCTGAAAGCTGTTCTCAATGAACTGTTGAAAGACTTCTGAGGCTGAAAGCAAGGGTCCCCTCATGACTATTTGTGCAATACCCAGCATAACAGGACATGAACACGGATTTGAAACTCTGAAAATTAGAGGCTTAGGGGTGTTCACACCACTATTAAACGGAGGTCTGAAGATAGCCAGCACATTAAATCCAAGCAGGTTTGCATTACATCAAATTCCACGCTACAGGCAGCGCTGTTCAGGCTTCTCTTTTCCTGACAGAAGTTTTCATTTTATGTGAGCACCTTTGGTGCCATTTCCTTCCCACTTGCAGTGTATTAGTGTCTGTCTTATCACACCTTGCACAGAAACAACTGCAATAAGCTTCACGCTGGCATGTTGAATTAACCTTTTCATCTCTCATTGCCATCTTTCCCTTCTCACCTCCTGTGGTGTTTCTGCCTTGCCTTGTTTTTACAGCGCCTCTGAAATTCGTGCCTTTCGTTTCAGATCTGGGAATTGTTCAGATTGTATTCTTATATCTGTCTAATTTAAAGTCTGCTTTCTTAAATTGAAAGGAAGTTTCACTGAATAATTCTAAAATGTGAGCCTCCAGAATTGGGCCTGTCAGGATGGTAACATTTGACTGTGCTTCAGCTGTAAACAGATAATTCAGGTGGATGTGAAGTGCAGGAAGATCATACACTGTGTACAGCTTGCTATAGTTGGACGACACATGAATAATGCTCTGGGTTTGGGATCAGTCAACTCTTCTGTTTTTAATCATTGATTTTCTTTCACCCATTTCATAACTGAATTGTTGATGCAATCCTACCCCATGTGATGCAAGGCTAAGGGTTTCACAATAAATGAAATGCCATCTAAACAAGCATGAAATATGCACACAGTGTAATCTAAGGTGTCCACAGAAGTTGGAAGAGGATGCAGCCAGTGGGGCCTCAGGGGAGTAATTAATTCTCAGCAAAAAGTTCTAATTCTGCCTCTGCTTTCTTTTTGCTTGCCTGTAGAAAATTTGTATTTCATTTCAGCAGCGAGGATGGATCATGCAATGAGTGGGAAAGCAGGTCTGGCTTGGTTCAGGGATCCCTGAGCTGAGCCCTCCCCTCTGTTTTCATCAGGAAGGGCCAGAATAGAACGCTAGGTGAGCTGGCCCTGTAATACAGGCAAGGAAACATTCCCAAGCATTTTCTTTATCAGAATTATAAGCAGCATTTGAGCAGCGACCATCCTTTGAAACAAACAGTAATGTCTTGTCTGACAGCTGTACCTGCAGAGTGCACCGTTTCTCAGTTAAATGCTTCGCCCAGGATGAGAGCAGAACCCAAACACAACCAGGGGCACAATCTGCCCGCGTTCCCAGAACCAAATTCATGTCGTCTTCGGAACTGGTGTTCTTACTGCTTATTGGGAATGATCCTGGGCCTGTTTGAGCTGCTTTGTTCCTTGCAAAGGCTTTGGGCCTTGCTAGTTCATCCAGCCTAAAACCTCAAACTGTGAATTTAACAGACAAATCCCAGCACTTCCATAGTGGTCTGGCATTGTTTAATTTGCAGATGTTACGATTTTGTGTGCACTACACTGAGTTAATTGACTGCTCACGCTGCAAGGCACATCAGACATCATATCTGTCTCTTTTTAGCTTTTCTGATAAAAGAACTTCATTTTATATCACTTTCTTAGCCTTAGTCTTAACCAATACTTTCTTACACTCTTGAGGTTCAAGAAGCATTGCAGCAAACAGCCACATTCAGCTGCTGACCTGTGGCTGGTAGGCACTGCAATGGCTGCACAGGAGGTGGTGCAGTCGCCATCCCTGGCAGTGTTCTAGAGTCTGGATGAGGAGCTGCGAGGTCTGGTTTAGTGCTTGTGGTAGCGGTGGTGATGGGAGGACAGTTAGACTCGATGATCTTGCAGGTCATTTCCATCCTTGTGATTCTGTGATTCTGTGAGTCTGTGTTTGATGGAGAACACCAGCACTGAGCCCCCTGGACAGGTGCTTGATGTCTTGAGTTAGGTGCTGTCATTCATTATAAAAACCTATGAAACTTTGAATGAGACCACAGGAAAAGTTGCCTAAAGAGGAGTTCCACCCAGATAGGAACCCAAGTTCCTCCTGTGTTTTCCTTTCCTCCACCCATACGTTTTGCCTTTCCATCTTTACTGCCACTCAGTTTCAACAGGAAGCTCACAAACGTTATGTCTTCTGTGATGAGATCTTTCAGGCCAGCAATTTCTATCACTGCATTTGTTTCAGGAGCTCTGGAGAAGAGCTGGTGGACTGTCCCGTCTCTTTGCACTTATGTATGCCATGAATGCTTTCAGATTCCATTGTGCTTCTGCTGACTATGGAGCAAGGTGGGATGTGTTGGGGGGATTTTTCGGAAGCACTTGAGCTGCCTTCATAAAAGCCAGCCCTAGAGGAGAAGTGGTTTATCATGGAAGAATGGTGGAGGATGGGAACCATTGGGCTGCAGCATTTGATGGAAAAACATTCCCTCTCCTCTCTCCTCCACTACGACTCACCTACATCTATGTACTAGCAGCAGAACTGTTGAGGTAGAACATTGCTATGGGTCAACGAAACAACTTAAATTTTAGTAGTGCTCAGTTCCCTTTAAAAATAAGATTTCCTTCTGTTGCAGTGGAATTAGTGCTGAATTTTGTACCTAAATTCTCTAGTCAGTGCTGGGGAGACAGTAACTATGTTCACTGCAAAATACAGTCAAAGGTTTTGGAGCGAGGGCTCCCTTCAGAGCCATACCAGTCAGATAAGGTTTGTTTCCTCTCCCTTCAAACTTGCAGTTTAGATGCAGAGCAATCCAGCTTCAAATGGAGAGGAAAGCACCTCCGGTAGATGAAACACTCTTGTATTTGAGTCTCTAAATCTGGAGGTGGGAATTGCTTCCTCCATTGGATCATAGAATCCTAGAATGCCATGTGTTGCAAAGGCTCACAGCGCTCCTCCAGTCCCAACCCCCTGCTGTGTGCAGGTCACCAACCAGCAGCCCAGGCTGCCCAGAGCCACATCCAGCCTGGCCTTGAATGCCTGCAGGGATGGGGCATCCACAGCCTCCTTGGGCAACCTGTGCCAGTGCCTCACCACCCTCGGGGGGAAAAACTTCCTCCTCATATCCAACCCAAACCTCCCATCTCAGTTGAGAGGGCAGTGGCTCAGCACTGAGGACTCAGAAGGCTGTGAGAGCTACAAAGTCCCGTGCTGGATGTGTTGGGTGCACCTGCTTGCTGAATTAAAGTCCCCAAAGTTTTCAGGGCAGCGGTCCCTTGTGTGTGAATCCCAGACAGCTTCAGGAGGGGATGAGGACAGACACATGCAGCAAACCTGTGCAACAGCATTTCCGTGCACGGCCAGTTTTGCTTTCTGGTGAAACTTGGGACTTTTGGAGTCCCTGAGATTCCCAAGGATTTTGGAAGTTTCAGGTTGCTTGGGGATCCAGACAACTCCTGGTGTCTGGACAAAGTGAAATAGGCCAAGCAGAGCACGATGCTAATGCAGCTTAGCACATCCATGAACTGGAATTAAATAATTGAGAATAGATCAGTTCTTTACTGCAGTGGCTGTGTGCTGCCCAGGCTGAAAGTCATGTTAATGACATTGCAACTACAGATGTGTATAGTGAACACACCAAAAATCCAGGCCTGCATTGTACACTGATAGACATGCCTTATTTGGAGCCTGGAGCAAAACTCAGCAGCATTTATAATGGCGGTGAGAGCATTACAATAACTTTGGGCTCAGGTATTATAAGAGGAATGTAGATTTGGATGGGTGGTTTTGCTCTGGCTGCCTCCCCACTAACAACAGAAGAGTGTCACTGGGATGATGCAGCTCTCAGTTCCGCTGCTCTGCAGCTGTGCTTACTGCACAGAGCATCCTGCAGGTTTGCCCACTGCAGTATCACAGAATGGCCTGGGTTGGAAGGGACCTCAAGGATCGTGAATCTCCAACCCCCCCACCGCAGGCCACCAACCTCCACATTTAATACCAAACCAGCCCTGTAAGCACTCTGCACATCCTGCCTTTAGTGGTGCAGCTATGAGCCTTCAGAACCCCACAGCAAACAGCTTTCCTCTCATCGTTCCAGAGGCCCCCCATCCCAGCTTCATGTTTCCCATACACGTCCGTAAGACTGGAAAGCAAAACCCCTCATCTGCCTTTCCCTGCTCCATCCTTCAGCCTGGATTTATTTCCCACGGCTGCTGATGGATGAATGACAATTGTTTTTGCTCAGCAATTGCACTTGGAGGGGATGTGCATTGTGAAGCTGCTTGACAAGCCAAGCGGTGGGAGAGGAGGGGTGGGAGGGGAGATGTCTGCCAGGCGGGCGGGCGTGCAGTGCCAGTGGCTGCACTGAGCTTTCGCTGTGTCCACAGGGGGTGAGCCTTCCTCTCACCCCAGCCTTCTCCTCTGCCACACGAGAGGAGGAAAGAGGAGAAAGCAGAGGGTCCCCTGGCCCCGGCAGCACCCAGCTGCCTGGCTCGCATCTGCGGCAGGCGAGCCACGAGGAAGAGCCCCTTTGTCACCACGACCACTTCACTTTTAATTTAAAACCTTCACCTGCTTCCATAAGGGATGATGGAGGAGCAGTACATTTCCAAACTGCACCCGGTAGTGGACTATGGAGCTGGGGTCTTTCTTCTGATCGTAGGTGAGTTCTTGCACAGCCCGTTTGCTCGAAGCCTGAGTGGAATGCGGCTGCCCCATCCTTTGCTTTCATGACTTGCCAGCACAGGTTTGCCTCTGTGGCATCACAAGTATTGAAAGTAAGCTGTCTGCCTTTTACTGCGGGATCCCAGCCCTGCACACTGAGGGAGGGGGCAGCCTGTCCTGCAGGGCTGAGCAGGGAGGGCAGCATGGTGTGACCCTGGGAGGGTTTCCTTGTGGGTGAAGAGCAGCTGCGTTGCACGGACCAGATGTTTTGTTTGTGTACAGCTGTTTATTTGCAGATGAGCTGGACTGGGTTAGGCACGCAGTCCCAGAAAGACCAGCATTTATTTTTTTTGTGTGTGTCAAAAGGAAGGATTTTGGCAGCAGCACTGACATTAGGATTTCATATCTCATACCTCTCCATGCACTGCTGTGCACCTGTCCCCTCAGTCATGCTGACAGCAAAGGGTGGAATTCATCATGAGAAAAATCAATATCTGCACAACACTGAAAAGGTAAAACAGAACCCAAGCCGAGATGTCAGCTGCTTTCTCACAGAGAAGCAAATACAGAGCTCAAGTAATGGGATGGGGTAGCTAGAAGGGAACTCCTTTGGCTCCTGCTGCTGCCGTTGTGATACTGCTCTTGTGCCACTCTGCTATCATCTCACAGCACTCCTATAGGGATCCATAGGCATCACTTCCAGCACGGTATCAGAGTCCTCTGTGCAGCTCAGGAACATCCCATGTACTGAGCACTGAGCTACCAGAGCTGGACATGGCACTGCATTGTCCAGAGCTTCACCAACACATGTCCTGTTGAAATCTTTCCCTTGACGTCTGTGCCCATGTGTGCATTTATGCCAGTGCATGTAGTTTGGTTTTGTAACATGTCCCCTGATTTGTTTGCCTGTGAGCACTTGATGAATGGGTTGTGTGTGAGCAAATGCAGCCTTCCTGTTTCCACTGCTGTGAGAGAACATGACAGAATGTTTTCATCATAGGATCACAGAATGGTTTGTATTGGAAGGGACCTTTGAGATCACCCAGTTCCAACCCTCTCCCCTATGGGACACCTCCCATGGCCCAGGCTGCTCACAGCCCCATCCAGCCTGGCCTTGAGTACTTCCAGACAGGGGGCATCCACAGCCTCACTGGGCAACCTGTGCCAGTGTCTCACCACCCTCACTTTTCCTGTACCCTTTTTTCACTTCTGACTTCAGAAGACACCTTCTCAGAAAAGCCTTTGATCAAAACATTGCTCCAGTGCAGTGTTCACATGTAAGAGAAGAGAAAATGAGTTGTTTAGCTGCATGTCCTTTTGACACTGTTGTCAAAAGCCCTATGGCATCGCTGAATAATGTATGTCCAACAGGTCCTTTTGCAAAGCAGGCTCTGCTCTCCAGTTTGCCTCTGGCAAAACAATTTCTTCTCATAGAAAGTAAACAGGGATATTACCAGAGAACAGTGGAGGTGGATAGGTCCATTCTACTTGATGTTATGTTGTGCAAGGTAATCTACAAGAACAGGTGTGGGCTACTTACACAAGATTGGATCCAGGGGCGAATAAGTGGAATGTAGTGCATGGAACAGGGAGAGGAGTAATGTGGATGTCTGGTGATGGGAAAGGGCAAGGTACAGCCTGCGATTCATATGACAGAATTTCTCCTCTTCACTCTAGCAACTCCTTAGCAAAACCACGGCCTAACTGACATCTGTCTTCTTCTACCCTTCAGCCCCAGGCTAACAACAGGCATTTATCACATCCTCTGTGTAGTTGCATCTCATAGGTGTGCTGATTCCTTTCTTTCAGCCATCCTGACAATCCTTGGAAATTCTGCTGTCCTTGCTACAGCAATGAAACGCTCTTCCCTCCTGAAGTCACCAGAGCTGCTTACAGTCAACCTGGCAGTAGCAGATATTGGGATGGCAGTCAGCATGTACCCGCTGGCCATTGCATCTGCCTGGAACCACGCCTGGCTGGGAGGAGATGCGTCCTGCGTATACTATGCCCTGATGGGTTTCCTTTTTGGTGTCTGCAGCATGATGACGCTGTGTGCCATGGCTGTGATTCGTTTCCTTGTTACCAATTCATCCAAATCTAACAGTAAGTCACTGCGTCTCCGGGAGCCTCACAACGATGCACTCGGGCCATTATGTTCAGAGAGGGACTCTGCTGAACACGGGCTGCAGTATCAGATCAGTAACTGTCTCAACTTTAACTGCAATACCAAACCTCCACCATTCCTACCACACCTCAACTACAGGGATCTGGCTGAATTCCTTATTAAGCAGTGTGGCTTTTCATTTCTCAGTAATACTGATGAAACAACTTTGTTGTTGGGAATGGAGATCCCAAATATTTATTGCACCACATTGTCTTATCTTGTCATTTCTCTGCAAGCAGAGGTACTGAAACTTGAGTTGTGTGCTGGTGTTCCTGGTCTGGGATTGCAGTTCACTTGATCCTGTATAGCAGCATCACTTCACAAGCTTTAGGCTGGCACTGAGGGCTGCACTCATGGCTCACCCAACCCATGCATATTTGCAGCCACCATCCGTACGTTGAAGAACTTGTTGCAAAAACTGTGTGGTTGAGGTGAGATCCACATAGATTTGCTGTCCTCTTTCTTGCAGGTAACAAAATCTCTAAGAATACTGTTCACATCCTGATTACTTTCATCTGGCTCTACTCCCTGCTCTGGGCCATTCTGCCCTTGGTAGGCTGGGGCTGCTACGGCCCCGAGCCATTTGGCATCTCTTGTACAATAGCCTGGAGCAAGTTCCACAGCTCCTCCAATGGCTTTTCATTCATCCTGAGCATGTTCCTCCTCTGCACAGTCCTGCCTGCTCTGACCATCGTCGCCTGTTACTTGGGAATTGCCTGGAAGGTTCATAAAGCATACCAAGAAATCCAGAATATCAACAGGATTCCTCACGCAGCTAAACTGGAGAAGAAGCTGACGTTGGTGAGTTATCCCAGTGAGGGGGTCTGCAGCAGCCAGGAGCTTGCAGGGAACTGCTCCTGCTCATGTGTGGTGTGCTCATGACCCTCTGTTGCGTTTGTCCAGCGTTGGTGAAAGGTGGAGATGTGGTTACAGTGCCACCCATACTCTGACTCCATCAGGGGACTCCTGGAAACTGTCATTTCAGGAGTATGGTCAGGATTATATGCCGCAGGTACCGTGCGAGCTGTTTGTAGTCAGATAAATCTGTGATTTTTTTTGGATGTAGAGATTTCCAGTCATGCTGGAGTAACTGATGAATACATTCACATGGTAGTTGGAGTGGAAGTCCTGCCTGCCTAAGCGTTTTAAATGGACTGAGTGGCTGTTCCAGGTGAGAGCTATAGACAGTCCCTATAGAAACAGGTGTTTTTTTAAAGATAATGTTATTTTTCACATAAGCACTATGCCACATTTCCTGCAGAAGAGCTTAGACTCAAGTTTTCTGGAGGCCACTCTGTTGATAAGCCGAGCTTTCTTGCTGGGCTGTTTCTCCCATGGCGTATTGCAGTCAGAGTCAGGAGGGGGATGAGAACAGGATGATCACAGGATCACAGGATTGTAGGGGCTGGAAGGGACCTCCAAGATCATCGAGTCCAACCCCCAACAGCCCCTTTATAGGCATCGCAGTGTGTATGTGCTCGGTGGGAGCAGCAACGTGCGCACTGCCCAGATCACTTACTGCACAAGTAGCAAGCTCACTGCTTCAGGTATTTCACCTGAGCCCATGCCCACGTGCCCTGTGCAGGAAGAGGACTGAAGCCGTGTTTCCCTTTCAGATGGCCGTGCTGATCTCAGTTGGTTTCCTGAGCGCGTGGACGCCGTACGCAGCAGCCAGCTTCTGGTCCATGTTGAACTCCGGCGACTCCCTGCAGCCCATCGTCACGCTGCTGCCGTGTCTGTTTGCCAAGTCTTCAACCGCCTACAACCCTTTTATTTACTACGTCTTCAGCAAAACTTTCCGTCATGAAATCAAACAGCTGCAGTGCTGCTGGGGTTGGCGGGTCCATTTCTTCAGCGCTGACAACTCTGCGGACAATTCCGTCTCGATGATGTGGAGTGGGAGAGATAACGTACGTCTCTCCTCCAATGCAAAGGTGGAGAGGCAGGGAGCTGCAATGCACTGACATGCAGCAATGCTTGCAGCACGTGCGTCAAGATTCTGACTCACTCGTGGGCCCAAACAAGCAGGAGTGCAGCATGCGGAGTTGTCACTGAATATCTTATGTCGAATACTAAAATTGTAAGTATATATTTTTCAAACTGCTCCCAATTACTGTTTTTAAAATGCACAACAACAACAACGCTGTTTTTTTCACGAATTTCCACCTTAGAGGAAACAGATTTATGTACTAAACAAGACCATCATCACCTTTGGTCGCACGAACATTCAGGGAAACAGCTATAATTAATTTTTATTATTTTTTTTTCCTGCTTGTAACTTTTTAATGCAACCCATCTGGGGACCCTTGGCTCTGTCAGTAACAGCCATCAGAGTGAAGAGCAGCCTGAACACAAAGCACTGCCAAATAAGTACATCTGAGAAAGCAGCTTTCCTGAATCACAGAATGGTTTGGGTTGGAAGGGACCTTGAAGCCCATCCAGTTTCAACCCCATGGACAAGGATACGTCTCACAGACCAGGCTGCCCAAAGCCCCATCCAGCCTGGCTTTACAGACAGAAAAACATACAGGCAGCAAGAAATTCCCACTGCCAGGAAAAGGTGATGAAGTGGTTGTTATCTACACATCTGAAAGAGACCAACAAATACACCCTTAGAGGTGCTGTTCCTGAAGTCACAAAGCATAAAAAGGAGTCAAGCAGCCTTGGTCTGAAGAGGTTAGGTAGCAGCCTTCTGTATGTCGCAGACAGCAGGATGAGATCTGAAGGACCCTCTTGGCAAAGGGAATTGTGCTCTTAGGTTGTTGCTGGCTGATATCTCTTCTACCATTTGTTTCCTGGAGGAGATATGTTATGGCTGGGAACGGCATGGCAAAAGATGTTGCCAGGATTACCTGCCTGGCAGGAACTAGCTTGAAGGAAAGTCAGTTCACCTGAATATTTTGTCTCCTTAAAGGGCCTCGCACAAGTAGTGCACACTGGGCGAGAGAACCATTCCTTCCCTAGACTCATGATTTCATTTTTCAACCTTAATACGACAGGAGAGAACTGATATATGTTAGCAAGTCCTAATCCAGAGCTTTAAAGAGCTCTCCTTCAAGCATATAAAGATTCCAGTTGAAGGTGGGAATTTAATTTGCTGAACTCGAAAGGAACAAGATGCAGATTTTGAAGATGATTTGAGTTTTAAAAAGCAGAGTCTATACTGCAAACATAGGTAATGGTTGATATTACCTGTGAGCAGAGAAATAGGAAGAAAAGAATAAAAACAGTGTCATCATAACAAATGATTTTTTTCAGTTCCTTCTAGAGGGGAGGCGAAAAAGGTGAGAGTTGAGGATGAATTTCCCTAAGGAAAGCCTAGCTGTTAAATAAACAGCTATAGCAAGAACAATACTGGACAAAGGTACAGCATTAAGTGAGAATGACCACTGAGAGGAACTTCACAACCAGTGTCCCTCAGGGGTCGGTCTTGGGGCCAGTGGTCTTCAACATCATCACCAATGACAGACAATGTCACTGAGTGCACCCTCAGCAAGTTTGCAGATGACACCAAGCTGAGACACTGGAGGGAAGGGAAGCCATCCAGAGGGACAGGCTGGAGGGGGGGCCATGTGAACCTGATGAGGTTCAATAAGGCCAAGTGCAGGGAGCTGCACTTGGTTTGAGGCAATCCCAGGTGTTTACACAGACTGGGAGAAGAACCCTCTGAGAGCAGCCCTGCAGAGGACTGGGGGTCCTGATGGATGAGAAGCTGGCCATAAGGCAGCAGTGTGCGCCTGCAGCCCGAAGGCCAGCTGTGTTCTGGGCTGCATTAAAAAGGGGTGGCCAGCAGGGACAGGGAGGTGATCATCCCTCTCTGCTCAGCTCTTGTGAGGCCCCATCTGCAGCGCTGTGTCCAGGCCTGGGGCCCCCAGCACAGGAAGGACGTGGAGCTCTGGGAGCGGGGCCAGAGGAGGCACTGAGATGAGCAGAGGGCTGGAGCAGCTCTGTGTGAGGAGAGGTTGAGGGAACTGGGCTCGTTTAGCCTGGAGAAGAGAAGGCTGTGGGGTGACCTCATGGTGGCCTTCCAGTGCTTGAAGGGAGCGGATAAACAGGAGGGGAAATGGCTGTTTGTGAGGGTGGGTGGTGATGGGACAAGGGGAATGGTTTTAAAGTGAGACAGGGGAGGTTTGGGTTGGATATGAGGAGGAAGTTTTTCCCCAGAGGGTGGTGAGGCACTGGCACAGGTTGCCCAAGGAGGCTGTGGATGCCCCATCCCTGCAGGCATTCAAGGCCAGGCTGGATGTGGCTCTGGGCAGCCTGGGCTGCTGGTTGGCGACCTGCACACAGCAGGGGTTGGAATGAGACAATCACTGTGGTCCTTTTCAACCCAGTCTGTTCTTTGATTCTATGATTTATTTGAGAAAAAGTGAAGCACAGGAGCAATGATGTAGGCAAAAGGTGCACAGCTGCTCCTATATTGATTACTGCCAGACACAACATTACTGTCTTATTAAACAAACCATGAACTTAGAAAAACTATGTTTTATCTACTTACTTATTTCTAAAGTGAACTGAGTCTGATTAACATTAACACCAAAGTGCTGCTTAAGTCAATCACATCTCTGCTGAACTTTAGTAATTTTGCCTGAAGACTCCCATGCCTGCCAAATACATGATTCCAAAATTCAAATGGTTATCTGGATGCAAAAGAGGTCAACCAAAGAGCTTGAGCTGATATTTTATTTATCAGTGTATCCAAAAAAGGAAAAAACAAAAAACCAAACCAACAGCAAACCCACCTACTGAATTCCCTTCATTCCTTGAATTAATAGTTTCAGAGATAAAATTTTTTTTGTGGGTAAATACATAAATAATCCTCAAGCAGAACAAGCAGAGAATTTACAACTTTCTTAGAAAGCACAAAGCACCAGGTCGTGGGGAACCAAAGGAACGTGGCTGGCCGTCCTTCGCTGATGATTACATTCCCAAAGTGATTAAGGTAAGGCTGGGTGAATAGTGCTGCATTTCAGCATTACATGGACTGCTGCCTCTTCTCCAGGCATTTCTCAATATCATCCAATACCTGGACAGCTGCTTTAGGAATACGAGTCCCTGGGCCAAACACTTTGGTAACACCAGCTTTATATAGGAAATCATAATCCTGTCCAGAAAGAAATGTGAGATCTTTAGTTAACAGTGCAACAGAAAATTGACCTTCACAGTGACTGTATGTGTCAGGCCTGAGAAATATGCATCAACTCCCTGAGAGGCAACAGAGCATCAAGGGAAATGACAAAAAAATACAGTAACTGGAGGAATAAAGAAATACTGAAAAGCATCTACAACAAGGGTCTTATTTGTTTATCATCAGACTAATATCAGAAGTCAGATGGATGCGACCCTGAATAACCTAATCTAAATTTGATCTACCTTTGAATTTTGAAAATGCTGCTTTGAACAAAGGCTTCTAATAGGTGACTGGCTGCTCATGGTCCCTGCAATCTAAGTAACACTGATGTTATAGTCAGCCTGAAATTCTGAAGTGATTGGAGAAGCAGTTATCTAGTCTCTCTCACTTCTACACAGTATATTCTACATGTCTTTCAGCTACAATCTAGTGGTATCCTAATGGACAGAACATAATTTGTCTCTTAGAAAAATCCTAGGAGATTGGTACATTTTAAAAGTCTGTCCATCCTGAACTACGTACCTGACTGGTTAGAGAAGGAAAACATCAGGGAAAAGGAAGTCAAAATAAATTTGTATGCAAAATCAGTCTGAATCTAGATTCTCTCTCTAGAATCTGTCTCTCTCTAGGCAGAAGACAAACCTAGAGATGTTACTGCCGGGCAAATTCTGGATGAGCTAAAGAAAACTGTAGGAAAAAGACACAGATCTGACTGCGAGGGAATCCAGCAAGCTTAGGAGAAATAGTTAATGAGAGGGACTAAGCCTGATGTCAGAGAACAAGAGGAGCAGCTAACTAGAGAATGAGATGTGCAGCCTGCAGCTGCACTGTCAGCCATACCTCTTAGTCACTGTGCCTCTTCAGAACTATTACTGAAAGTAATAAGTTCCCTTCAGATGGGAGCTAACCTTTACCAGCATTATGCAAGGTACTGGTAATTGAAACTAACAGAACATGAAAAACACTTCCCCGAGGCTATTCTCCTCACAGCAGAACTTAATATTCCATCCAACAAACAACGTAAGTTAAACCAGGACATGATGCACTGAAAGCTCTATCAACAAGACGTGACAGCACCGTGTGACCTTCCTGCAGATCTGTGCTGCACCTGGTGATGGCACCCAGCAGCCTTCAGTGCTGTATGTCACCTCTGACATTCAGAGTACCTAAGAAACAGCTAAAACTAGCACAGGTGGAGATGATGCTGGTGCATACCTGGGGTGGGATGACACCTCCGCATATGACAAGAATGTCTGGGCGGTCGAGGGCATCGAGTTCTTTGATGAGTTCAGGCACGAGAGTTTTATGACCTGCTGCCAGTGTGCTCACACCAACACAGTGCACATCTGCATCAACAGCCTGCTGGGCCACCTCGCGAGGAGTCTGTATGGAAAGAGGATTACACACAGCTAACTGCCCCGGCCTGGCTGCTGAAGGACGTGGGATTGAGCACTGCTCAGTCAGTCATACCTGGAAGAGGGGACCTATGTCCACATCAAAGCCAATGTCTGCAAATCCTGTAGCAATAACTTTAGCTCCTCTGTCGTGGCCATCTTGGCCCATCTTTGCAACCAGTATCCGGGGCCTGCGCCCCTCGCGATCCATGAACTTGGTAACTCTGATGGAAAGCATGAATGACATCACTGTCAGTCACTGAGATTCACCAGAAGCATTTCCACAAATCTGAAATAAAAGCACTAGCTGCAACTGCAGCATAATTTCTGTACATCAAATAAAAGGATCTTCCAAGTCATCATTCACTTATGTAGTTGGCACAGTTATTGCTATGTGATTATTAATCCATTCCTTGTATTTATTATTCAGAACAATAAA